AAAGGGAAGGAGAAAGCCTTTGGCTTTCTGTTTGTTTTCTCCCCTCTGCTGGGGCAGAGAGGGGCGCGGAACAGCCCCCAAAGGGAAGGAGAAAGCCTTTGGCTTTCTGTTTGTTTTCTCCCCTCTGCTGGGGTGGAGAGAGGTGCGGAAGAGCCCTGAAAGGGAAGGAGAAAGCCTTTGGCTTTCTGTTTGTTTTCTCCTCTCTGCTGGGGGGAAGAGGGGCGTGGAAGATTTGGGCAACTGGGGAACCGGTTTGGGGGCGTGGCCAGCAGAAGTCACTACCAGTTCTACAACCCACACCAAATTCTTGCTACCGGATCACCAGAACTGGCGCGAACCGGCTGAATACCACCTCTGATATGTATGTATGTATGTATGTATGTATATATGTATGTATGTATGGTATTCAGCTTTGTTCGGGTATTTTCCCACATCATTATAGTTGTGCTTTTAAAGTTGTAGCAATGTTTCGGCAGAATTTCATCTGCCATCATCAGGCTTCTGTATTGTGTTTGTCTGTGAGTCAGACTTTCACAGCCATTACTGTTTTAAATTTCGTGCTAGCCTACTGCTTTGCCAGAATGGTTTTTTCTTCATCCTGATTGGTTGGGAATCTTGGTCTGTGTTTATTGGTCTCGGAGTGCTGTGTTCTGCTTGATTGATGTTTCTAATATCTTTTGTCTGTTTTGTAGCTTTTTTTTGTCTTGATTGGCTGGCAACATTGTGTTTCCTGTATTGGAGGCTTTTAGTGAGGCTTGGCTCCGAGTAAACAAACGGCTATCATTTATTAGGAAGCTAGGTTTTATCTGGGTGCCTGGTTGGGGTGTGTTTGAACTGGAAGTACCCGCCTGGATGAACACAAAAATGCAGTTAAAAAGCTGGAACACACTTCCTCACTAGTCCAACACATGAAAGCCACAGGTCATAGCATCAACTTCAATGGCACCAAAACCCTAGCCACTATAGAAAACCCCAGCCACAGAATTATCAGAGAAGCCATAGAGATTGAAAAAAGACCTGAGAGCATGAATAGAACAGATGATTCCACCAGACTGTCAATTATTTGGAAGTCTGCACTCACAAACAAAAAAATCTCCATACCACTACCCAGGCAAACACCTAGGCACAAACAGATCCCCCCTGATACCTCCAGCTCAAACACACCCCAACCAGGCAGCCAGATGAAACTTAGCTTCCTAATAAGGGATAACCGTCCATTTACTCGGAGCCAAGCTGCACTAAAAGCCTTCAATACAGGAACACAATGTTGCCAGCCAATCAAGACAAAAAAAAAAGCCACAAAACAGACAGAAGATATTAGAAACACCAATCAAGCAGAACACAGCAAACTCCAAGACCAATAAACACCGACCAAGACTCCAAACCAATCAGGATGAAGAAAAAACCATTCTGGCACAGCAGTAGGCTAGCCCCAAATTTAAAACTGAAACAACTATAAAAGTCTGACTCACAGACGAACACAATACAGAAGCCTGATGATGGCAGATGAGATTCTGCCGAAACATTGCTACAACTTTAAAAGCACAACTATAATGACGTGGGAAAATACCCGAACAAAGCTGAATACCATACATACATACATACATACATACGGTTCCAGGTTTTTACATTTCAATACAAACATGACCATAGTTCATCTTTCATAATCAATTTTACATCATATTATTACTTCTTCTATTTTCCTTTAAATATTCTCGAATATTATATTCATTGCACTTGTTTTATCCAATTCCAGTTCATATCTTAACTTATTTCATTTTTCTTAAAATATTCTCATACATATTTACTTTTATCTGTCACATTTGCAATTTTGTCACATATTGTTATTCCATTCATTGTTAATTGTTCAATAGATTTCATCCTAATTCTAATAATTCAAAAGTTGTCCCCTTTAATTGTCAATTCGAGCTTGCTACCTATTTACCTTATACATTCCCTCAATTTATTCCCTTTAATTTATTATAAAAATTTACCACAGTATAGTCATTTTTTAATTACTGCGTTCTACATTGATAAAAATAATCTCCTAACTACTACATATCACATATGCATATATATATGTTAAGTCAGATTCTGCATGGTATTCTTTTTTTCAATTACATTCTAAATCATCTATTTATTTCAAAAAATTAATCTATTCAATTAATTATAGAAACTGATAATCTTTCCATTACAATTCCCATTCATTTTAATTTTATTCATTGCTTTATTAAATATCAATTAATAATCTATATTTGGTTTTACAATCCTTAAAAAAATCTGTTCCAATCTTTTTTATTTTTAAATCCATGTTCTTATATATCACAACACATTACCTTGCAGAATCTCCCTTCCTGTTCTTCTTCTATCCATTCTCTCATCCTCCTGACTATATAATTTCTTTTCATTTTTGTTTGCTTTCTGCTTCCCTTTTTTTCTGGTCCTTTCTCTTAATTCCCCCTTTTTCCTCCATTTCTTATTCCATTTTCCCTCCATTTCTTATTCCAATGATTTATTTTGTCCTGCTCCCACTCTTGCTCTTTCCTCTGTAATTCCCTCTTCTGCTGTTTTCTTTTCCTTTGTTTAACTTTCCAAACAATTCCCCCTTTAATTATCACATCAAACCTTAAATTTTTAGCTTTAATTCCACCACCACCCCGTTTTAATGTTCTTTGTTCCACTTGTTCTTTAGAGATGGTTTCCTCTTTATTTAACTCCCCCCCCCCTCTGGTTCTCTTTGTTCTTTAGACTGCATTGCCATTTCTAATTTTTGTAGTATATTACTGTACATATCCAAGCTTTCTTTCATCATTTCCTTCATGTCTTGTAGTTCCAATTTTATTTCCACATATAATTCTCCCAATTTGTATACTTCTTCCCCCCCACTTCTTTAATATTTGTATCCAATCCAATTGTCCAGTAGTTTATTTCAACCAGTGTCTTTTATATTTAATTTCAACTATCAGTGTCTGTAAGTCTTTGTTTCCAGATTCCTTCTATTGATTTATTTTCCAACTTCTTCCCAAAGTCACCAAATTATTCCAAGGCAATTTCTTCATGTATCTTTTTTCCTTGTAGTATTCTAGTATTTCACTTTTCAGGGTTTTTATAGTGGAGTTTCTCTTATTTCATTTCAAATTCCAATTTTAAAAAGACCAAGCATTTTTCAAAGTCACTGAAAATTTTCCTTTACCATTAGATGGCAGACTGAGTTCAGTTTCCACATTCTACCCTTTCTTTTCCCTTTTCCCCTTTTTTAAACTTTTAATTTTGCTAATTCCAATTATTAGCTATTATTTCTTTTTAATATGTTCAATTCCAGCATTTACTTATGCCTATTTAGTGCCAAAATCCAAATAATTATCCAGTTTAATTTCTAAGCGTTTTATAACCCAATATTTTCCTCTGAATTTTCCACCTCCAAATTCTTTTCAAAGTTCAAAGAGAATTTCACAAGTTTCCAATTTTCTTCTCTCTCTCTCTGGTCACCGCTTCTACAAACTTTCATAAAAAATTATTTGTTTCTTAATTCTGGGGTACCTTAATGTCCATGTATTTCGCCTGGTTCACACACTGCTTACAACTTCACCACTCCAGCACAGTCTTAGTTTCCTGGACTTCCTCCTGTCTTCATGGTGGCCATTTTAGACCACCACTGAAACTTGTCTTCAGAGGGGGCTTACCTTGTCAGGGAGGTGAGATGCAGATCCGCTCGACCCTCCAGGTGGTCCTCCCTTTCTTCACCACCCCTCCAGGTTGGGACCCTCCAACAAGCAAGCGCAGAGTGAAACTGTGCATGATTGCAAAATCCACTCTGATGCAACGGAAGCACAACCAGAAGTCCAAATCACTTTCTTTTTATCATCATTTTGATGGTACAGGTTTCCTTCGTCATCCATTAATTGATGTATCAATGTTTTTTCTTTCTCCTTTTTCAATTTATATGCCAGCCATCTTCCTGGTTCATTTGCATTTTCAAAAAAGAATGTTTAGCATTTTTAATTTGTTGTGCTAATTCTTTATCTATTATATTTAACTTGTGTTTTATTAATTCTATTTGATTTTTTTTAGATTATTTTTTGTGGTTCTTTTTGTAGTTCAATTTCTATTGTATTCTTTTTCTAATGTCTTTTGGTTTTCTTTCTTCTTCTTATTTTTCTTTCCCATATAAGTTATGACTAAACTTCTAATATATGCTTTAGCTGTATCTCATACATTTTGTATTGAGGTCTCTTCTTTCCTTATTATCTTTAAAGAAAAAGTCAAATTATTTTTCCATGAATTGGGTAAATTCCTTGCCTTTTAATATTGATTGATTCAACATCCATCTTAATTTTCTGTTTTGTCCTTTCCATTTGACTTTTATTGGATTATGGTCTGCCCAATTACTTGTTTCTATATTCAGTTCTTGTACATTAGATTTCAATTCAGCTGACATCCATATCATATCTATCCTTGACCATGACATTTGCCTATTTAAATAGAATGAGTATGGATTTTCCTTAGGATGTATCTCTCACCATAAGTCTTGGGTGCCTAGTGTTTCCACCATTTTAAAGAAAGTCTTTGGAAGCTTTTTCCTAGCGTTTTTATTTACTTTCCTGGTTTTGTAGTCTAGTTTCATATCTACAATTGCATTGAAATCTCCCACTACACATATATTTTCCTACTCCAGTTCTATTATTTTCTTATGAAGTTTACTATAAAAGTCCTCTTGTTTACTAATTGGTGCGTAAATTGCTACCAGGACTATCTGTTTGTAATTCATTATTATCTCCACCATCAAAATCCTCCCTTCTTCACCCATAAATATTTTCTTAGCATCTTTTTTTGTTGCGTATCTCTCTCTCTCCTGTGGCTTCCTCTTGTTGTCTATCCTCTTTTTCCTCTCTTACTATAATTTCCTCTTGTAGTTCAAAATAGTGATCATAAAATTGTTCTGCTTTTTCTAGGGAATCTGTCAGGAACTGAACTTTTCCTCTTCAACCAAAAAGAATGAACTTCTGAAGACTAGATGTTTCAAAAGGAATCCTTTATTGAAACGAGGTGATTCCAGCCCTATTCAAAGCAGAGTCTAAATGCTCCCAGGCATGCAGTAATAGATATGGGGAGTTAGGACCCCCCTTATTTAGATGTGCATTTTATCAAAGAACCAACATGTTAATTCACCCCTCCCCTTCTCTGAAAACGTATCTTTTGAAGAGTTCCCAGGGAGTATCTTCCAGAGCTGGAATTTTTATGGTCCGTTAACTGCTTGCTATCTCTTCAAGAGGTGACAAATTTCTGGACATCTGGCTCCAATCCTCCAGTTGTATATCACATGTAGGATGATTAAGATTTAATATATTCAGGTTACATCAAAAAGGATTACTTGTACCAACTTCCCCCCTTCTTCTTCCATTGAAGAATGGCAGATACATGGATCTGACAGAATCTAATCTATGTTTTTGGTCCATCCAGGTCACCAATATTCCATCCTGTATCAGCCATCCAAAATTTACTCCATTCTTAATCAGCTGTTTTGTCAAAAATTGATATTCCCTTATCTCTCTTACTCTTCTGGAAATCTGTTTTAGAATTGCTATTTCTTTCTCTTTGTATTTTATGGGTTTATCCCTTGCTCTTTGTAGTATCTCCTACTTTTATTGCTTTTTTTGGTGAATCTCAGATGTACCTCTCTGGGAAGTCTATTTCTTGTCGCATATCTAGTATGAACTCTAAATATTTCATCCATCTCAGGGAGCATCTTTACTTTGGATATCTCTAAGGCATTTGCCAGCAGCTCTGCCATTATCACTGTTTTCTCCCTTTTCTTCTTCAATATTCTGAAAGCGTAAGTAATAATCAGCCTTATCCATCTCAAGTAATATTATTGTTCTCTCATGATTTTTGTCTGCCATGTAAGTCTGTGATCAACCTCTTCCATTCTTTTCTTTGTTCAGCTTTCTCTTCCACTTTCTGAATGCATTGTTCATTTTTAACCATTATTTATTGAATATTTTTTATTTTATCCTCTATGTTTCCTATTATTTCCTTGATCTCTTCATACATGGCTTGAATCAAAGCTTTCATCCCTGCCTGCATCATATTCATTTTCTCTTGCTGCAACATCATATCCAAAGACCTTTGATCTTCTGGGCTAGATGCTGATGCTGAGGATGGTGCAGATGTAGTTTCCTTCATTTTGTGATGCTTTAATTGTAATTTTAATTGTAATTCCAGAGGAGCATAATTGTAATCCACAAAAAAGACAGATGAGACTGTTATTTATAATCCAAGAGGAAAGTGAAAGTATAAAGTATAAATTGTAATCCAAGAATTATTAGGCTGTTAGCCCCTTTATTCTTCAAAGAATGTTCTGTTCTTCTCTCATTAAATTTATAATCCATGTAAGCCCACCAAGTCCCAGAGTTCAACTACCAACTGTCTTATATCTTCAAAGAGAAAGTTCACAGAGAAGGGGAGTATTTTGCTGTTTACTTTGTCTTGTTCAGCTTCTGCTTGAGTTCCAGGAGCTGCACTTTGATTAATCTTTGAATTTCTAACTCTTGTTTCTCTTATTTAACCAATGATGGAACAGATCCCATACCTCAAAATATTCAGTGTCTTCCTTTTCTTTAATTTCAAAAGTTAGTTTATTCATTTCTGCACATTCTAAAATGTTTATTATTATCTTTTCTTCTGTGGGCATCTCCTCGTTCTTCCAATGTTGTGCGAACACGATTTTGGCCACTGTTAACACATGTACTATATTTATTACTATATTTGCCTGGTATGATGCCCAACAGGAATATTTCTGGTTTTAAATCTATATGTTCCTTTATCATTTTTTTCTATCCAGGTGTGTATTTTAATCCAGCATTATTATTTTTTTGCTTTTGAACATGTCCACTACATGTGATAATACATGCCCAAAATTTGGTTGCACTTCCAGCACTTGGCAGACATATCCTTAAACATTCTGGCTAATCCTGCTGGTGGGAAGTGCCATCTGATCCTGTTAGAATTTTATTTATTTATTTATTTATTTATTTATTTGATTTGATTTGTCAATCGCTTACAAGATAATAGGTATAAGTATATACATAGTTATGAATACATGAAATGGGTACATATAAGAAAAATAAAAGAAACAATAGGACAGGGATGGTAGGCATGTTGGTGTGCTTATGCACGCTCCCTACAGACCTCTTAGGAAAGGGGTGAGGTCAATAGTAGACAGTCTAAGGTTAAAGTTTTTGGGGTTTGGGGAAGTAACCACAGAGTCAGGTAGAGTATTCCAGACATTGACCACTCTGTTGCTGAAGTCGTATTTCCTGCAATCAAGTTTAGTGTGATTAACCTCGAGTTTGTATCTATTGTGTGCTCTTGTATTGTTTTGGTTGAAGCTGAAGTATTCATTGACAGGTAGGACATTACAATGTATGGTTTTATACATAAGTATATACTTATGTATATACATAAGTGTTATGTCTCCTCTTGGAAATTCAAACGAACAAACACAAAGCAGCCGTTTCACAATCAAATCAAACTGAAGGAAATAACAAGATAACAGCTGGCAGAAACTGTTAGGACTCCCCTTCAAAATTCAAACAAACAGAGAGCTCTTTGCAGTAACGTCCTCATTCAAAATAGTCATTTTGTTCCTGGCGAAAGGCACCAGCTCAGCTGTGTCCTTTTATACCCATTAAGGCAACGTGCTAATTAACTGGCTTGTCCTTCAGATTAACGTTTCCTGGTTCTGACGTCAATCCACGATCTAACAGTCATCAGATTCAAAACTCCCAACAGTGCCGATCCTTCCAATCACAACACTATCCCCCACCGCAGGGCCCTACCCCCGAGTCTGATGATTAACTTGACGATGTTTCGTTGACAACCTCACTCTGTCTCCCACAGCCAATGGAGGCGTCGCTCGTTCCAATTGTCTCAGGTGGTCTACACATTGGAGACTTGGAAAAGAAATACCGTTCTGCGACCAAGCCACCAACGGATTGTGCAAACGCAACCAGGACATTCCGAGCACCAAAGGGAGATGAAGGTTCGAGGTGATATAAAAACTTATCGCCTCCTCATGATCCCCAATGATCATACGCACTGGCTGGGTGGCGAAACGAATGGGCCCAGACTTGAGCTCACGCCCATCCACGGTTTCCACCTTAATGGGTGGATGTACAGCAACCAATGGGATCCCATAGTGCGTAGCAAAAGCTCGGTCCATAAAGCTGGTTGTAGCCCCTGAGTTCACCAACGCAACAGCAGGAATTCCCTCCTTCTGTGACTGTAGAAAAATTCGAGTGTCCAAAAGTAAATGCCGAGGAGGACCAGGATTTACTTCAGCAATTTGAGGTGGGGATGTGAAATGTGTCCAACCTAGGGTTTCCTTGAGGTCAGGTCTACCCTGTTTTCCTGATGAGCCAAGAGTTATTTCAGGTACAGGTCTGCGGGTCCCTCTCCGTTTGCAGGAATTAACAAAATGTCCCAGACCCCCGCAATAAAGGCACAAGCCTTCCTGGAACCTTCTCGAACGTTCTCGCACCGTTAAGCGAGGGCGGAGTGCGCCTAACTCCATTGGCTCCTCAACATTAACCGTGGGTTGGAAAACTCTCGGTGGCGTGGGTTGTGCACGAGAAAACGAAGATGGTTCCATACCGAGCCGTTTGCGTCCACGTTGCTGTAAACGAGCTTCAATTCGTAAGCACTGAACTATCAATGCATCCAAAGTTAAAGCCCTCTCTGCATGGACCAGCTCATCTTTGATGGCATCAGACAAGCCTTCCTGGAATGCAGCCATATGAGCCGGTTCGTTCCAGTTGGAATCCAAACACAGCAAATGAAATTCTGCAACGTATTCCTGCAGGGAACGTTTCCCCTGATTTATGTCCCATAACCGTCTGTCCACAGTTTGTATCTTAATTGGGTTCTCAAACATCACTCTCATTTGTTGAAGAAAACCCTGGAAATCATTCAACAACGGGCTATCTTGAACTAACAAGGGAGTAGCCCAATTAGCAGCCTGCCCAGATAAAAGGCTAAGAATAAATCCTGTCTTGGCCCGATCATTTGGAAAGTTTTCAGGCCTCAAGGACATAAATAATTGACACTGCCCCAGAAATGCCGGAAACATGTCCATTTGTCCTGAAAATTTCTCCGGCATGGATACTGGGCTTTTCCTCTCAGGAGGGGCAGGGGGAACAGCAGCAGGGCTTGGTAAGCTGGAAACATAATTCAGCAATTGTGTTACCTGATTCTGAAGCGTCACATTGCTTTGCAGTAGCTGATTAATTTGTTGTTGTTGCTGCTCTACCAAACGCTGCAGTTGATTTAAATCCATCTTGCTTGAAAGATGGTTTGTTTAGGCCAGGAACAATAATGTTATGTCTCCTCTTGGAAATTCAAACGAACAAACACAAAGCAGCCGTTTCACAATCAAATCAAACTGAAGGAAATAACAAGATAACAGCTGGCAGAAACTGTTAGGACTCCCCTTCAAAATTCAAACAAACAGAGAGCTCTTTGCAGTAACGTCCTCATTCAAAATAGTCATTTTGTTCCTGGCGAAAGGCACCAGCTCAGCTGTGTCCTTTTATACCTATTAAGGCAACGTGCTAATTAACTGGCTTGTCCTTCAGATTAACGTTTCCTGGTTCTGACGTCAATCCATGATCTAACAGTCATCAGATTCAAAACTCCCAACAGTGCCGATCCTTCCAATCACAACACATAAGTATATACTATACTTAGATCGGACTGAAGGTGGTGTAGTTCTAGGTTTTCTAGGTGTAGCATTTCGAGTCTGGTGGCATAAGGTATTCTGCAACGAGTAGAGGAGTGGAGAACTCTTCTTCTGAAATATTTCTGGACTTTCTCAACTGTGCTAATATCATATACGTAATGTGGGTTCCAGACTGATGAGCTGTATTCGAGTATTGGTCTAGCAAATGTTTTGTATGCTTTAGTTAGTAGTGTGATATTACCAGAGAAAAAGCTACGTAGGATTAGGTTAACAACTCTTAATGCCTTTTTGGCTATGTAGTTACAGTGGGGTCTAGCACTTAGATCATTAGAGATGAGTATTCCAAGGTCCTTTACAGAGCTTGGATCATCAGCAAGGTCTTGACTATTCAGCTTGTATTTTATTTTCTGATTTTTTTTGCCAATATGTAAGACAGAGCATTTATTTGTTGAGATTTGAAGTTGCCATTTGTTTGACCATTCTGATACATAGTCAAGATCTTTTTGAAGGGTAGCAATATTGTCTTTGGTATTGAACAGCTTTACATCATCAACGAAGAGAACACAGTTGCTCTTAATATGATCACAGAGGTTATTTATGTAGAGTATGAAGAGAGTTGGTCCTAGAACACTGCCTTGGGGGACACCACTGTTGACAGGTACAGAATTTGATAGGACACTCCCAATTTTGACCATTTGTTGTCTGTTGACAGGAATGCTTCTATCCAGTTATGCAGTTGTCCAGAGATACCGTAAGATTTTAGTTTTAGGAGTAGTTTGTCGTGTACCACTGAATCAAAGGCTTTACAGAAGTCTATGTAGATTGTGTCTATTGTTTTGCCCTGATCGAGTTGTGTAGTCCATATGGTTTTGCAGTGTAAGAGTTGCAGATTACAGGATAGTTTTTTTTCTGAAACCAAATTGTTTATTGGAGAGTAGGTTGTTTGTCTCTAAGTGGAGGATAACGGATTGGTTAATAATTGATTCCATGACTTTATAGGTGACGCAGCATAAGGAGATTGGTCTTTAATTTTCAACTAGGCTGGGGTATCCCTTTTTGAAGATGGGGATGACCGTAGCTTGTGACCATAGGTTAGGCAAGGAGCTGGCCCTGAAAGATTTTTCAAAGATTATGCTTAGAGGTTCTGCCATGGCAGTGGATAGCTTTTTTAAGAAGTAGGCATACATTCCATCCAGTCCAATAGATAGAGATGGATTTGGATTGCGTAGTGCTTTTTCAACAGTCTTCTATAAAATCGATATGTGTTAGATCATTGTAGTTTTCTGTGGTTCAGCTAGGAAATACTGGGCATGATTCATTGCTGTTTACAAATACTGACCCAAGAATGTTAAAGATGTTGGCTTTAATGGTGTCATCAATGCAGTCTTTACCATTAGGTCCTATCAGGGGTGGGATGGACCTTGAGTCTTTTAGTTTGCTGTTTACAAAATTGTAAAACGTGTGGGTGGAATTGGTGTGTAGAAGGTTTAATGTGATAATTGGTGCATTCAATCTTTATCTGGTGACATAAATTTTTGTATCAGCTTTTGAAGTTGGCAACATGACCAGATTTCTTTTTCTGCCAGAGTGATCTCTTTTTGGATTGAAGTTTCCTTATTGTTATGGGTAATCTGGGGTTTTTTTGTTTTGTTTTTGGAGTTGTTATTGGTACATATAGTTTGATGACTCTTTTGACTTAAGTAAAAATACGTTGTAATGGTCTTCAACAGTATTGCATCCAGTGAATAGAGATTGCCAATCAAGGGATGAGAGATCGTAGTTGCCTTTTTTGAAGTTATAATCGGGGATTTCATCATTGTGATGATTTTTGTGTGGGCGTATGTTGAGAGAAAAGTCAATCATATTGTGGTCACTGTTGGAAAAGGGTTCTTTTTTCCATCCAATTCCAATGGTTCTTTATAGAAACCACATGTTTTGGAATCTTTATGGTATCTAGATTGTATCTGTGCATGCAGCCACCATGTTAACTTTACCCCTTGGTTATTCAATTCTTATTTGTTTTTCAATTCCCCCTTCTCATTTAGAATAGCTTTATTTCTTATCATTTTTCCCGTGTCCATCACATTTGGGTGTGTTGGTGCCTCCATCATGGAGAACCAGACTAATATTTTCAAGTAGTGTTTTTCCTTGATTTTTGCCCATACTGAGAGTAGGGCATTCCTAATGTAGTGCCCCTGAAAGTATTTATGTGATTTATATTCCTCATACCATAGAAAGGCATGCCAACACAGTTGTAAGTTGTGTCCCTCCAGTACAAGTAATCATCTATGTCACAGAGTTATCCATTCTTTTAGCCAGGTAAGGGCAGTTGCTTGATAGTATAGTTCCCAGTTTGGCAACCCAAAACCTCCTCTATTGATAGAGTCTTGAATTAATTTCAACCTGATTCTTGCCTTTCTGCCTTGCCATATGAATTTAGTTATCATTCTATTTAATTCCTCAAAATATTTCTAGTTTTATTGGGATTGTTTGGAACAAGTACAACAGCCTTGGTAAGATATTCATTTTAATGGTGGCTATTCTTCCTTACAGTGATAATTGCATGCTTCTCCACTTTTCCAGGTCTAATTTAATTTGCCATGTTACTTTTAAATAGTTATCTTCTTTTATGGTTACACATCTTGCTGATAGGTGTATTCCCAAATATTTTACCTTTTTAACTATTTGAATGCCTATCTTTTCCATTAGGTCTTTTTCTCTGTTCCTTTGTAAGGTTTTTAACTAAGATTTTAGTTTTCTCTTTGTTTATTTTCAATCCTGCAATGTCACCATAGTCTTCTAATTTCTGTATTAGTTTGGGTCCCGTTTCTTGTGATTCTTCTATAATAAACACCAAATCGTCTGCAAAAGCTTGTAATTTGTATTGTTCTTTTTTTTATCTCCATGCCTTTTATTTCTATGTCTTGGCGGATGTTTCTATTTAGCACTTCCAGAGTCAAAATAAATAATAAGGGGGACAATGGGCATCCTTGTCTTGTGCCTCTTTTAATATTAATATTCTCTGTTGTGTGCCTATTCACAAACACTTTGCAGTCTGTTTTGTATATATTGCCTTCATTATATTGATGAATTTCCCCCCAAATTCCATATATTTTAGCCAATTTATGTTGTTGAATGCTTTCTGTGTTTCAAGAAACATCAACACCATTTGTTTTTCTGGGTGTGCTTCATAATATTCCAGAGTGTTCAGAATTATTCTCATGTTGTTTTTGATTTGTCTATTTGGCAGGAAACCATTCTGGTCTAGATGTATAAATTCATTCAGGAATCTCTTCAGTCTTTCAGCTATTATTGATTTATAGATTTTATAATCCACATTTAAGAGTGAGATGGGTCTATAGTTTTTAATCTGCGATAAGTCTGCATTTTCTTTTGGTATGAGGGTGATATTTGCTTCCATCCAGGATTGTGGTATCTTAGTGTTTAGTAAGACTTCATTGTAAACTTCCAGTAGTACCAGTCCCTGAGTCTTGTAATTTTTTATAGAGCTCTGCTGATAAACCATCTGGTCCTTGAATATTCTTCTTCTTCTGTCTCTTGATTGCCTCTGTTAATCCAAACATTGTTATCCTTTCATTTAGTGTAGATCTTATTTCTTCAGGAACTTTTGGTAACTCGGCCTCTTCTAAATATTGTTTTATTTTGTCCTCCAATAGTTCTTCTTGATCATACAGATTTTTTTTATACAAATTTTATTAATTTTAAAAGAGAATACACAGGCAAACAAAACATAAAACATAAGAACATAGAACATCTTTTCTAAAAACTGCTTAACAAAACAAATAAGACATCTCATTTAAGTACAACATAGTTCTAAATTATCACGTTTCCACACACAATTTAATATGCATCTTATATCATATCTTATTACTCTTTTCCAACTTCTCACTGTTTCTTCCTTTATTTCTGTTCAATTTTATTCATTAAACTTATACTTTCATGTATTTCATATTACTATATTTCATATTATTACTATTTCATATGTTCTTATCCAACATCATTAATCCTCAATAAACAAACATAAGCTAACAAAATACATAACATAAAAACATAAAACTTCTTTTTAGAAAGCGGCTTAACCCCGGGTTATAACTTTTTGTACAGACATAAATCAAATTCATGCTCACCTTATATACTATTTCATATCTTATTTAAGATTCTATATTTTCCATATATCTTCTCCCCTCTTTTCACTCTCTTAATTCTATTTTATTTATTTAATCTCAATTTAAATCATTATACTTGTATCTTTTGTCCGTTCTTTTTCAATTATCCATTTATCTTTCTCTTTAACACAAACTTTTTCCTGTAATCACTGGTTGAAGTATGACACCTTTCTATTTTCCCCCCAAATTTAACACTTAAAATAATACATAGTTTCTATTCTGATTCTGCTTAATACATTCTACATAACATTTTAAAATATAAAACATAATGATCTTATAGTATATTAAAAATAATGTTCCATAACAAATTAGTTAATTAAACTAATTACACATTAATTACACATTCCCTACAATATTCTATTAACACATATTTCAAATACAAATACTAAAATACAATCCTGTGTACTTTTGCAGAATCTCTTTTTAGATTATGTTTTACCCTTAATCTCTGAAAAAAACCTGTTTATTAGCATCTTGTTTTAAGCCTTTATAACCTCTTCACTTTTTCCCTTCCTTCCTTGTCAAATCTAACCTTTTTACCCTGCCTCTCAATCTCCAACCTTTTAGTCTTCCCTCTCTGTTGTATTCCTCTTTTCTGTTGCTTTCTGTCATTATATCGATTTTTCACCTTACTTTTCCTTTTCTTGGTTGTTTTTTTAGAACTTAAATTCTTCATTTTCTTCTCCTTTTTACCCTTTTTTAAAATCATATGTCCATTAAAGATGGCTTCTTATTCATCATCCCAGCCTTTTTCTTGTTGCATTTCCTGATAAGTAGAAATCGCCATTTCTAAAAAGCAAAGGATAGATCCAAAAGAACCCTTGCCTTCTTCTTCGTCTTCTCTTAATTTTTCAAATTGCATTTTCAGTTCTTCAACAGATACCATTGTGAAAAAAATTTTTTTTTTAAACAATCCAAATGTTTTCTTAGTCTTTCAAAAGATAGTTAAAGTCCCAAAGTCATCAAGCAATCAAAATCAGCGCAATCAGCACAGTCTGTTTCACTTTCTTCTACTTTCTCTTCCTGGGGCAGAATTCAATTACACAATTCCAAGGTATTTTTTGGAAGTTTTATTGCGATTTAATCTCTAATCTTATAAAACTCCAAGCAGTCTCCTTCAACAAACGTTAGTATAAATCATTTATCTCTCTTCCTTCCCACTTAAAGCAAAAAGATTTTAATTTTTAAATATCAGTGTTTAGAAATCTAATGTCCCCTTGGCTTCAATTTTGAAAGTTAGTACCTTCTGCTGCCAAAGCGGGTATTTCCGATTTCTATCTGCTGTCTCCATGGGAAGGAAAGTGAAGAGAAAAAAAAACTTTCTCTTTACTTTCCACCGCAGCTTAACGATCTTCTGGGAAACAATATATCACTTAAAGGGCCAAAGTTCCAGGGTATTCAGATGTTAATTGTCGTCCCGGTTCAGCCAAAAGCTTTCACTTTCTTCACTTCCTCCTGCACACAACTTGTCCGGCTGAGGGGTTCTTTGTGACGGCCATTGCTGACCGTTGCTCCACCACCTTTGGAAAAGGGAGTTAAGCCGGCTGGGAAAGGGGGGTGCAATATCCCCTGACCCCTGCCCGATCTCCCCTCTCTTCAGTTATCCCTACAGGATAACTATAGCCTCCTAATCCAGTTGGATCAAAGGCACTCCAGCAGCGAGCGCAGCAGGGATCGCGCACAAACGCGAATTCCTGTTGCCTCCGAAGCCTGACAAACCGGAATTCCTGATCATACAGATTTTTATAGTAGTTCTGGATTATTATTTTTTGCTGTCATTTTGGTGCTGTAGTATACTTTTCGTATCTATCAAGCTTTGTATCTGTTTTTTTTCTTTTTCTTTTTCTAATTTATATGCCAACCATCTTCCTGGTTTATTAGCATTTTCAAAAATGTTTTGTTTTATATTCTTGATTTTACGTGCTAGTTCTTCTTTTTCAAGTGGGGTCAGTTTGTGTTTTATTATTTCCATTAGATTTTTGAATTTGTTTTCTTGTGGTTTTTCCTGTAATTCCAGTTCCAATCTGCTGTATTCTCTCTCCAATGTTTTTTGCTGTTATTTCTTTTGTTTATTTTTCCTTCCTGTACACAAAACAGCTGGCCCTCAGAGGTATGCCTTCACTGTGTCCCATACATTTTATAGTGAGGTCTCTTCCTTTTTATTTTCTTTGAAGAAGAATGTCATTTATTTTTCTGTTGTTTGTATGAATTCCTTGTCTTTTAATATGGATTGATGAAACATCCATCTCACATTTTTCTTGTATCCTTTCCATTTAATCCTGTCTGAGTTGTGGTCTGCCCATATATTTGGTTCTATTTTTATTTCTTTTATGTTGGTGCTTAATTCTGGTGTCATCCATGCCATGTCTATACTTGACCAGGTTTGGTGACTATTCGAGTAGTATGTATGTTGACTTTACTCCGGGTTTCTTTCTCTCCATATGTCTTGGATGTTCATTTCCTCCACAGTTTAAAAAAAAATTTGGTAAAAATTTCTTTGCTTTTTTATTTATTTTACTGCTTCTGTAATCTAGCTTTACATCTGTGATTGCATTAAAATCTTCTATTCAGCAAATGTTTTCATAGTCCAATTCTGCGATTTACTCCTGGAGTTTCCCATGAAAATCTTGTTTGTTGTTTAGTGCATAAATTACTGTCAAAAGTACCAGTTTGTGATTTATTATTACTTCTGCCATTAATATTTTCCCCTCTTTGTCTGTGTATATAGATTTGGTTTTTATTGTTTCTTTGATGTGTAAGACCACCACCATCCTTTTCTGTTGTTGTGTCAATGAGAAGTATAGTTTCCCCATTTTGGGGTACTCTAAGAGTTTATTGTATTATCTTTTAATATATACTTCTTGTAAACAAATTATATCTAAGTCAGTGGTGGGATTCAATTTTTTTTTACTAACGGTTCTGTGGGAGTGGCTTGGTGGGCATGGCAGGGTAAGGATACTGTAAAATCTCTAGTCAGAGTTGGTATTTGACGGTTCTCTGAACTACTCAAAATTTCCGCTACCAGTTCTCCAGAACTGGTCAGAACCTGCTGAATACCACCTCTGATCTAAGTCCATTTTTTGCAGTTTTGTAAAAAGCCTTCTTTTCATAGGAGAGCTTAGACCGTTAATGTTGATTGATAGTAAATTTGTTTCTTCTTTCATTGTGTCACTTGTAAGTGGGTTTTGCTGTTCTTGTTTCTCTCTGCTCCTTTGTTCTTATTCCTTCTTGTTCTAATCATCTCTTTTGTTCAACTTCACTTCCTTCTTGTTGCTTAGTCGTAGTTTCATCTGTCATTGACTTCTCTTGTCCTCTATTTTCTACTTCCTCTCTTCTTGTCTGTTTGCTTCTGTGGTGCAAAGTAATAGTTGTAGAATTCATATGCACTATCTAGGGAGTCCAATCCATGTCTTCTATCATTCCAGGTAACCAAGATTCCCTCTGGTATCAACCATCTAAAATTTACTTTGTATTTAATCAACTGTCCCGTCAGAAATAGATACTGCTTCTGCAGATCTCTAGCTCTTCTGGGTACTTGTTTTAGCTCCACAATCTCTCTTTGTATTTCAGGGTTTCCTCTTTTATTTTTTAAATAATTTCTGTTCTTGCTTCCCCCCCCGCCCCCCATAAATCTTACATGTTCCTCCTTTGGGGATTTGTTCTTTTTGGCATAGCTAGTGTGGATTCTGAACACTTCATCAATCTTTGCCCTCATTTGTGTTGTTATTTGCAATGTTTAAGCCAAGAGGTCTACCATGAACTGAACTATGTTTTCTTCTTTCCCTTCCTTAATATTCTAAAACCTCAAGAAGTGCTCAGCCTTTTCCATTTGCAAATGAATTGCCATTCCTTCAAGTTCTTTGTTGGCCTGTGTTAGTCTCTG